TTGAATTTGCTTTGGAATAAATAACTAGTAGTAAGATAATCAATGGAAAGTTTGCAAAGATTTCACCCCTCGGCATACCTTCATAAAGCCCTGCAATGGACGCGTGCCCGCCCTAAGTAAAGGCGGGGCCGTCAGTTTTCAAAGAGGCCTCTCAGTTCGTCAATTTTTGTAACTCTTCGTGGGCACCAGACAGTTGCCACACGCCAGTTGGTTACATCCGCCTTGCTCGTGAGAATCAGAAAACTCGTTAGCCTTCCAGGCTCCTCCAGCAATGTGGTGGAAGCCGGGAACACCGTACGCTTACAACTGGTTTGTTGGGCATGCCTAACTAATTCGATCCCAGGCCACTGTCTGAACGGGCCTGGGCGAAGACACTTCGGCCCAATCGGAAACTACTGGAAACTCGGTCCGGCCAGCCACCTCGCGAGAAGCTGGCAAATGCTTTCGATATAGGAAAGTGCCCGCCAGCCTTGGGGTCATTCGAGCATTTGCTGTGCAAGCGGCAGCGCTCCTGGAGCTAGCGCTCGCAGGCTGCTTGCTGGTGCTGGCAGAGGTGCCCCTGGAGCTAGCGCTCGCAGGCTGCTTGCTGGTGCTGGCAGAGGTGCTCGTGTGTGCGTGGGCGCATAGGTAGCAGGGCGCTGCTGAGGGCAGTGCCATAGCTACCCCATCCATAGCCGGGCTTCGGCTTGGAAGGCCAGCGGAGGTGGTGGTGGTCTTCGTGTTGAAGGGAGACGTGGGTGAGAATTCAAGGGAGAGAGAGTGAGAGAGATAAGGATGATGATGTGAGGGCACGTACCTGGTCTTGGCGATGGTCTACATTGTCAACATCTGCACGTACTTCGGTTTCTGCTGCTGACGTCAACTGGTTGCATTGTCAATTCGTAGGCTGGATAAGTAGCTGTGTGAGAGTAGTCTGGGCGCTGAGCGCCAAGTACGAGGAAGGGCACTGGATGCATTCATTGGTGGTGGCGAGAGTATGCTTGCATTGACTTCTGAGTTCGGTGCTTTGGTTCTCCGTCCGTGGTATGTCAGTGCATTTCTGCTATCTGGACAGTGTTCGCCTTTCTGGCTTTCAATGTGATTTTGCAATCTGGATCTGTCATTTCGCTATTGCTCATTTTCCTTGCAAGTTGGAAACAAAATCAATAACCAACGAAATTTAAAATCATTTTGAAAATAAAAATAAGTTTGAATAACCTAGGCTGTTTTTCCGGGCGCCCGGGCACCCAACTTCTGCCCGGGTACACGCCCGGGTGCCTGGCCGGGCATGACCCCCGGGCAGGGTTCCAGGCAGCCCCAGCGCAAAAAAAAAAAAAAAAAAAAAATCAAAAAATCAAAAAATTCCAGAAAAAAACATATGTTGTCATTGTTGTGTAGAATTGAAATACAAACGACTTTTGGCTGAGGTTATAATTCGTCACAGAATCGGAGATAAAAACGAAAGTAACAGAATCACACAAAGGCACACCCCTTTAGAAGTTTAGACCCCTTCGGCGGCAGTTTGGCCCATTTAAGACCAATTTATACCCCCCTCCCACCCCCTTGACAGCCAACTCGCAAAAATCGAAATGAGACCAGATTTGGGGTCCTCTGGGAGAGCGCAGAAAACCAAAAAAAAAAAAAAAAAAACTTTTTTTCTTTTTTCTTTTTTTTGCACGCCCCGGGGGCGTCGCGCTCGGGTGCCTGGCTGGGCAGGACTGGCTAGGCGTGAGAATCTTCCTAGTGAATAACCAATGCCCGGGGGCGTCGCGCTCGGGTGCCCGGCCGGGCAGGACCGGCTAGGCTTGAGAATCTTCCTAGTGAATAACCATATAAACTTCTCAGTTTATTTTCATATTTCATTCTAATAATAAAAATGAGTTTAAATCATGTGTGTTAACGGGATGTCTGGATCCAGATCCAGACAGTCCGATCTGGATGTCCGGGTCTGGTGTCCGGTTTGGGGTGTCTGGTTGGGCCCCTTTTCAAGAAAATTCGAAGAAAAAAATTGGGGTCCCCAGGCGATTTTCAAGTGCCTGGAGGACTCCCAAAAATTGTTGGTGCAATTTTTGGTGGACCGTTGGGCCAACCGGACCGGCCCTGAATGGCCTGTAATAATTGCAATCTTGGGTGAACTTCGGCGGGCCAAGGAGAACTAGTTGTTGGAGGCATTCACTGCCTGCAGGCGGGAGGAGGCCATTTTCGAACTTCGCGCCTCCTGTAGCAGCCGTCCACCCTGTGCACAACTGCTCCCCGACAGTAAACGCCCGCTCCTGCCAGGCCATGTTGTCTATTTGAATTTTGAAATCTATTTGACAATTTGTGCAGTGCTGAGTGCGAGCGTGTGTGTGTGTGTTTGTGTGTGTGTGTGTTTGTGTGTGTGTGTGTGTGTGTGTGTGTGTGTGTGTGTGTGTGTGTGTGCGCGTGTGTGTGTGTGCGTGTGCGTGTGCGTGCGCGCGTGTGTGTGTGTGTGTGTGTGTTGTTTAAAAGACCCCAGATTCTCTCGCTTATTCCCTTCACAAATCATCACAAGCCATCCATAACGAAACAGTATAGATGGGGCAATATAATAGAAAATGCAAGGTTGGCCACGTTTGTGTGGTTCAGCGCCAGGTGCCCACACACCCGTCTGCCGCCAAAGCAGCACACTTGCACATGTACATATGTATACATATATATTTCAAACCATAAGGTGCTGGAGGGCAGAAGGCAACTTAGCTAAGACAGAAGACTAGTCCAGCAAGAAGGCACTGACCCGACCCCCTCAAAGGTCCAAAACAACTTGGAGAGCCTTCCGCATCGGCCCACAAAACCAAAAAGTCATTTAGCAAAAACAATCAAATTTCACAGCATTGGCATTCACGACATTCATCTCAAACTACACACTCGCGTCGCAGCCAAAGAGGACGAAGAAGATAAGAGACAACTTACCTAAGACAGAAGACTCCTCCAGCAAGAACACACCACCACTCCCTGCTAAGGGTCCGAAAAAACTGGGACTTTCCTCTCAGCTGAGGTTGATGTCGTTACCGTGTTCTGATGTTGTCTTCATGGTCTTCGCGAGATAAGAGTGCCACGTGGCACTGCTGTGCGATCAGGATTATCATACTTGTTATCGTATACTGGTTGATGACGTGGAGAGGAAAGAAGCCCGGAGAAGAAGCGGGGTTTGATTGGATTACTCTTGTGTGATCATTGATATTTCTTCCACCTTCTCCTATGTCTATTCCCCCTCCACTCTCTTCGTCTAATGGTAACGAGATACTGTTTCAGATAACACTTCACGATAACTGGAGACTTTGTGCAGATCTGAGACTACTTGTGCTTTGAGGTTTGATGAGTATCTGCCAGACTGGGTTCATTACAATTTGGTATCGGAGCATACTCCTTCATCGCAATATGCTGTCAGGTGCTGACGTAGCACCCAGGTAAGTGGGAGGTGCTGCATGTGCAGGACGAAACGAGTTTATGAACGCGCGCGGTCAATACCGCAGGTCTGGACATTGAGTACAGCACATGCATGAAGCCTCCTTTGAAGATGATGACGTGGCTACACTAAGGACTTCGAGATACCGACGACAGCTTCGTTGGCAACAGGCTGACATGGCGCTGGTCCAGAGAGAAAGAAGTGTGAACGGGACCGTTGATGTGGCACACTGTCTACATGGCATGATGTGGAATGCTGATGTGGCATTCTGGCAGGGCATGGTTTGACGTGGCACATCTCTGTTGCGAGTATCTGCCGATGATGCGCTGAGCTGACATGGCATGCCAGTGTTGTGTGTGTTGCAGATATGCATTTCTGACGTGGCATCTCCCCCCTCGTAGACCTTTCGGTCCTTGACGCTGACGTGGCAGACTCCATAGAGCTGCTGCGTTGGCATGCCAGGGGTGACACATGGCATGCATAACACGCTGCTGTGGAGGAACTGTTGAGTGTGCATTGGTGTGCCTGCAGACAGTACGGCTTCACGATTTGCTGTAGTGTCGACTGCTGGCCCTTGTGTTTGGTTGCGGCAGATGATACAGCCGTACGGAAAGTAAGCTAACAATTGATTGTTGTGTGTTGGCTGACTTACTCACCTGTTGGTTGTTCTGTGGTTGCTGTCCATACTCACAAGTGTGCTGTTGTCTTGATCACACTGGCTGTGGCTGCGGTACCTGTGCATTTGCTGTAGGACGTCATCTAGAACAGACAGCAAAGATAGGATTAGAAATTAATTGAAAATTTGTTTCTTCTATCGGCTTCGATTATTTCTTGCTGTAGAAGTTGCATGTGTCGTGGAATTTACTTTTGTGAAGTTTTGTCTTTAATTTTATTTATTATTGTGTGGCATTCACACGTTGGAGAAAATGTCTCACCTCTGGAGCTCTCTGCATCTCTCTGTCTTGACTCGTTTCCTTCCTCACTTTTTCCATCCTGTCTCCCTTACCTTCTTCACTGATGAGGAGGGAAGTGTGATTAAAAACCGTTGACAGATTGATAGCAGACGGCAAGAGATGCTGGGCCGTCTGCATCAGTTGATCACTGACTTACATGCCGCTGGTGCCGAAGTTGAACAGCAAGTGCGCAGCCAGTTCGATTTGCGAGCAGCAGAAAGCGAACTTGAGAAAGCTGACACGGCTGTTCAGATGATGGAGGCCAGCGCTCATGTTCAGCAAGTCATTATTCAGAGCCGACAGGCTCTGGATAAGATTGTTATTGATCAGCTGACGCAGATCACCAATAGCGGGGTCAAAAGAAAAGAACAAGGGGAACAAAGTGAGAAGAAGGAACAAGCACCATTGTCGGAAGAGATCATGATGCATAACATCCGACAACTGGAAGATGTGCTGACTGAAGAGAGAAGAAAGATGGAAGAATACCGGAGGATTAAAATGGAAAAAGAACAGCAGAACAGAAAGGTGGAATAAATAAAGCAGAAATTCCACTGTGAAGAAACAGAAATGGATCTTGCATCCGTTCTTCACAATCTGAGGGCTTACCTCGCGCACCTCGAGTTGAAGATTGACAGTAACACCGCGGCCCTTGAAACTATGTCTAGAATGATCAAGGGAAAAGGTAAGATGTCAGTTGAGGAGGAGGCTAGGGGGAAAGGAAAGGTAGAACCCCAAGGAAAAATTAATGAAGGATGCAATGAAGGAAGCTGAAGTGACGCCGGAGACGCCCGGGAGTTCTAAGAAAGAATCTGAGAGACCAGCAGAAAAGAAAGAAGAAGCCAAGAAGGAAGAACCGGTTAAGGAGGTAGAAAAACCGAAGAGAAAGGAAAAGGTGAAAATGAAACTGCCGTTCACCTACAACAACAAGAAAGATGAAAACTTGTTGTTGTGGATCGCAGAGATCCAGACTTATTGCGGCACCGCTCCAGTTGAGCCTAAGAGTCAGGTGGCCTTCTCGACGTCATGTTTGGGAGGAGTGGCCAAGGAGTGGGTGTTGTCCGAAGCCAACGTTGGTTTCGAAGATATCAGTGAGCGGGCTAAGACCCCAAACCTCAAGCAATTTCTCCAAAAGATAAAGGAGAGATTCTTGGACAAGACGACGACCGATAAGGCCTTTGACGAATTCACCACGATAGGGCAGAAACGTTGGTCTTCCGTTGATGCATTGTCTCGTGAAGTGGACCGTCTTTTGCAAGTACCTGGACTGAATTTGCAAGACAACCAGGTCTTGTATATCTACTCACGAGCTTTGCCCGAGCGAATTCGCGGACAGCTCGTGGCCGAGACCAAGTTTGGTAAGTACAACTATCGGCAGTTTCGCGATCTCGCTCTCCAACGAGAGCAGATGACCGTACAAGTGAAAGGTTCATATGCTTCGGTAGTAAAGTCTAGACCGGTCAGTGGGTACGGTAAGCGGGTCCGCCAGGACCACATGTTAGTTGTCTTTGATGGTGATACTGCGAAAAAGTTACCCCTCCACGAGTATGAGGGAGGAGGAGGTAATGGCGACAGCGAGTCCAGGAAGGGTGACATCGTTGTCGTAATGGCTAACAAGGGACGCCAAGGCCAATGGAAGAAGAAGAGGAGGCCACACTCGTTTCCCGAGCACCCCGGCATCGTGTTCGGGAAGCCCTGGGAAAAGATGGGGATGACACGTGAGGAATGGCAGTCCAAAATGGACAACCGCCAGTGCCTAAAGTGTGGGACCATGGGGCATGTGATAGTCTGGTGCCCACTAATTCGTAACCCAAAAGTGAGCAGCCAGTAGGAGTAGCATCTGCTCCTACTGGGTCGAGGGGTTTAGACCAAAGTAAAGGTAAGGCGCCTACAACCCCTTCTAACCCTTCAACTCTCAAGGCAGAGGATGACTCTTCTTCAGCCCGCCGTCCAGAGCACCCTGACACTGTTCTTTGCTCTGTCTCACTGGACGATTCCCTTGATGAACTCGACAATAAACCCATAGCACTTTGGAGTTCGTGGGCTAAGAAAGCGAAGACTAAAGGTGGGCTAATGATCGCAGATATTGAGATTGCGCACACACGAGTAGGTGCACTGTTAGATCCAGGATCGACGCGGTCTTACATCTCAGAGAAGGCAATTCGAAAATTGCATCTGGGAATGAAGGTAAAGAATTTACCTCGACCTATCACGTCTATGTTGGCTGACAAGAGCATGATCACCTCAATACGTCAATTGCTTTAAATGTTATTTCAGGACGAAGGAAAGAAAGAAGATTCTACACGAGATATCCTTCCTAATTGAAAAGAACCTACCTGCCTTTTGACATGATTCTGGGAATGGATTGGCACGAGGAAGCCGACCCAGAAGTCAGGTTCAAAGAAAAGATTGTAAAACCGAAGGACGAGAAGTCCGACCTTTGAGCGATAAAGTTGTACCATAGGTCTGGCTCTGACTCTACCCTGTCTTTCTGTTGTATGAGTTAACCTTCCGATCGACTGTCTCGAAGAAGAAGTTGGATCAGGATATGATGATGATGCTCATTAAATGAGTAGTCAGAGTAGGTGAATGCTCCTCATCCTATCCTCATATTGAAAAACTTCTCGATGAATATAAGGACTTGCAGATTGACCCAACGGGAATCACCGAGCGTGTTATTAAGCACACGATCGAGATCATTCCCGTAAGCAAGATTCCCAAGGGTCCCATCTACCGAATGTCTCCCAGGGAACTTGAGGGTCTTCGAAAACAGTTGCAAGAACTTACTGAAAAGGTATGGATTCGCCCCAACTCATTTCCTTACTGTGCCCCTGTGTTATTTGTGCCCAAAAATGAAGGTGAACTCAGACTATGCATTGACTATAGAGGGTTGAATTCCATCACTGTGAAAAACATGGAACCACTTTCGCGCATTGACGACCTGTTGGACCAATTGCAAGGCTACAGGTACTTTAGCAAGATTGATCTCAAGTCAAGGTACCACCAGATCGAGGTGGCTCCTGAGCATCAACACAATACGGATTTCCGAACAAGGTATGGTCACTACGAGTTCGTGGTTATGCCATTTGGATTGACTAATGCACCTGCGACCTTTCAGAGGTCAATGAACGGATTGTTTCATCAATGGCTGGACCAGTTGGTAGTAGTCTATCTCGATGACATTTTAGTGTATAGTAAGACACTAGAAGACCACGAGAAACATCTACGAATGGTTTTGCGAAAGTTGCGCGAAGGCATCTTCAAACTAAACCCGAAAAAGTTTGAGTTTGTTAAGCCTGAAGTCTTGTACTTAGGGCATACAGTGAATGAAGGACTTAGGCCTGAAGGAAAGAAGATTACAACAATTCGAGACTGGCCGTAACCTAAGACTATAACCGAGTTGAGATCTTTTTTAGGACTTGCTAGTTACTACAGAAAGTTCGTCAAAAACTTCTCTGTGATAGCTGCTCCTATGAGAAGACTGTTGAAGAAGGAAAAATCTTGGTTGTGGGACAAAGATTGTGAGTCGTCGTTCAGAAAGGTAAAGCATGTTCTGACTCACTACCCTGTCTTAAACGTTGCTGATCCTTCTCTTCCTTTCATCGTCACGACTGACGCAAGTCAGTATGGGATTGGGGCTGTGCTACAGCAGGACGACGGTAAGGGATATAAACCAATAGAGTTTATGTCCAGGAGACTTCAATCAGAGAAAGTGGCCAACTCCACCTATGAAAGGGAGTTGTATGCCTTGGTCTCTGCACTAGACACCTGGAAACACTACTTGTTAGGGAGGCACTTTACTGTCTATTCCGATCATTCCACTCTGAAATGGATTAAGATACAACCTAGACTCTCTGATAAGTTAGTGAGATGGTCCGCTTTCATAGATACCTTTGACTTTCGCATGATGGTCCCACGCCAGGCTGAAACGCCAGTGTTGGGAAAGGAAGCGGGTATTGAAGGCGGGACCAGTTGAAACTATTTTTTAGGCAGGGAGCAAAGGCAGCCCCGTTCGCAACTATTCGCACAACCAGAATTGTGCATTGCGCCGACGCAAAGGCATGGAGCGAAGGCGACCGCGTTCGAAAGTATTCAGCTAGGCAAAATTGTGCGCTCCGCCGTCCATTCTAAAGCATTCGGTCAGGGCAAAATCGCGCGGTCCACCGCTAACGGGAAGCTTCCACGTGCGTTGGAGAGAGAGAGAGAGAGAGAGAGAGAGAGAGAGAGAGAGAGAGAGAGAGAGAGAGAGAGAGAGAGAGAGAGAGAGAGAGCATGGTTCAGGAGACATGGTTGCAACCGTCGCTAACGGGAAGCTTTGGTGCGGGAACGTGGAAACGCGGCATCGGCCGGGACGGGTTTGCTGCTTTTGTCGACGTGCGTTGGAGAGAGAGAGAGAGAGAGAGAGAGAGCATGGTTCAGGAGNCGTGGAAACGCGGCATCGGCCGGGACGGGTTTGCTGCTTTTGTCGACGTGCGTTGGAGAGAGAGAGAGAGAGAGAGAGAGAGCATGGTTCAGGAGGTGTGAGGGGAGACGGGGCTGGAGCCGTCGCTTATGGAAAGCTTTGGTGCGGGAACGTGGAAACACGGCATCGGGCGGGAACGGGTTTGCTGCTTTCCTCGATGTGCGTTGGGAGAGAGAGAGAGAGAGAGAGAGAGAGAGAGAGAGAGAGAGAGAGAGAGAGAGAGAGAGAGAGAGAGAGAGAGAGAGAAAAAGCATGGTTCAGGAGGCGTCAGGGGTCGGTGTAGACGGGGCGGGAAGACCGAGGAAAGCTGTTGACACGTTTGGAGTGGGTTGGTGTAAATGGGGTCGGAAGACCGAGGAGAGGTGTTCCGGCGGATTCAGACATACGTGTACTACGTGGACATCGGGTTGGCATGGCTGACCAGGGTAATTTGATGTTTTTTTTTGTTTTCCATTTTTTTTTCCCGCTGAACTTCGATGTCTGTCGAGAGAGAGACTTTTTTTCGACCAAGGAAATTTGATTTGAATTTTTTTTTTTTCGTTTTTTTTTTTCTGCTCGACTTCAACCATATCCTCTTATGTCTATCGAGAGAGAGGGAGAGAGAGATCATCATTGAACTGACTGGCCTCAGGTAATTCAGAAATATTTTATTCTGGTCATCTGATCGTATTTGGATTTGAACTCGGGTCTGTATTTCAACAGTTCATGGGTCATCTTCTCTCCTCCATTTACATGAGTTGTGTGCTGCGGTTTTTAACTTTTTATCCCATGTTGCTGACAATATTTCCCCTCGCACCGCTCTCTCTTGCTCAATTGTCTATCCATCCCTCCCATCAGTCTACGATCCCCTTTCATCTCTTCCTCTCTCATAGCCAGGAAGCCTTTAGCTAAGTTGTTACAAACCCACGGACTGTCGAAATGTGGCCCTGAGTTTGAATCCAGCTGAAACAAGATGAACGAAATAAAATAGTTCTGAACTATCGCGGCAGGGGCAGTCCCATGATCGTACCTCAAGGCCGTCGCTCTTTTCGAAAAAGAAAAAAAAAAAGTCGGACTCAGGCTCGATGACGACACCTGTTACCCTTGAATACCGCTCAAGCTGAGGAACTCCAACTCCTACCCCATCAAACTCTTGGGATTGATTCCAGCAAAGCATCCAACTCGACCGGACCCACAACCTAAGAGGTCATGATGGGGGAAGGTGATGATGGGAGGGAGGAGGTGGTCGGTATTCGATTATAGATCGAGAAGCTGATCGCTGAAGGAAGACAGACATTAGGAATGATGACGGGACAGAATGGGACAGGAGGGAGAGGCGAGAGAGGAGGAGGAAGGGAGCAGCAGCAGAAGGAGGAGGAGGAGGAGGACGAGGAGGAGGGGAAGGAGGTGATGGGGGTTCGATTCATTAGCATTTAGCTCCTCGATTTTTTACTGTTGGCAAATACGATCGGATTGAGCGTTCGAATCTAGACTTATTTGTAGATAGGTGCAAGAAATCGAAATTGAACTGTATCTCTTGATCTTTGTTTCAAACATGTCCAGATTCAAGAAATTTAGAAGAGCAGTGCCGAAGAGAACGAGACAGGAGAGTGAAGAGAGAAAGGAGAGGAGGAGAGAGGAGAAAGATGATCAGAGAGACGACGGTTCTGATGCCAAGGGGAGGATGAGGGGAGCGTCGAGGGGAGTTGGAATGTGGGATGCTTCCGAAGAGGGAGAGCCGTGTAGTGTGTAACACTCGGGCGCGTTCTGGAGAGAGAGAGAGAGAGAGAGAGAGAGAGAGAGAGAGAGAGAGAGAGAGCATGCAGCAAGAGGGCTTTATTTGTGCACATCAATTGTCCATTTCTCTCTTTTTCTTATCTAATAGTCGTCATTGCTTGGGTTTGTTTTTCTCCTTGACGTTGCTTCTCACATCCAGTATCCAATTCCACCTCTTGACCGACATCTGCCGGCGTGCCACAGGGCACACGAAGGCATGGGGTAGGAGGAAGGCCGAGGGAGGACGTGGAGGAAGAGGGGTAAGGAAGAGGGAGGAGGGAGGAGGAGGGAGAAGGATGAGTAGAGAAGGAAGGAGAATAAGAAGGTAGGATGACGATGACGACGAGAACAATAACAAAAAAAAGGCATGCCGATATGCCACGTGGACATTACAGGAGGCGAAAGGATAGAGCGGGGAGGAGGACGAGGAGGAGGGAGGAGAAAGGAGGAAGAAGGAGGAGGGAACACGAGGAGGGAAAAAGAGGAGGGAGGTGGATAATGAGGACAAGAACAAAAAAGGCGTGCCACAACATGAGGAGAGAGGAGGGAGGGAGAGGATGATAAGAATCATAGATCGCGTGCCACAGAGGATGGAGGAGGACGAAGGAGGAGGAAGGAGAGAGAGAGAACGAGAGAGAGAGGAGGGAGGGACCGAGTGAGGGAGGCGAATCGTCCCCTTGGTCTGTTCCTTTTTGGAAAGGGAGGACAAGGTGATCGGAGTTCGATTATGGCTCAACAAATTGGGAACAATGAAGCAGGACAGTTTCGATGCTGATAATGTTACCTTCAGAGCATCGAATCACGCATAAAAAACCTGAAAAAAAAATGATCACTACGGACATGATCGTCCGTGGACAGCGTCGAGAGTCTTCAGAGTGGACTTAGCTGCGGTATATTTCTTGTTTTTTTTTTTTTTTCACAGCGTCCGTTTTGCTTTCTTTCGTCCCTTTCTTTTTCTTCGGAAAATGGTGCACTACTAATCGCGGCCGCCGGGCCTGGATTTGACTGAATTCGTCGATCGAAACAGAAAATCGAGATTGAACTGCGCTTTTGTATCTTTGCTTGAAAGACGTCCAAATTCTAAGTGATTGGCTTTTCCCATCCTCCCAAAAAAAAAAACCCAAAAAAAATGATTGCTCAGTGTTCATTCACCAATCGACATATACCCGACCCTTTTGTTCTTTTCTACTAGGCTACCAGCCGGGCCGCCCGGGTCCCGGGTGGCCAGCCCGTGCAAGGACCAGGTAGGGTCCCAGCAAAAAAAAAAAATCCGAAAAATCCGAAAACAAACTATGTTATGCAGAAAAATAAACTGAATAACTTTTGCCTCAGGGTCATATCGAAATTCTTCACCAAATATTTGTGACGATATATATATATATATTTATTTTTTATTTTTTTTTGGCCCGGCCGGGCAAGTGACCCCGTGCCACTCTGGTAGCCTAGCTTTTCTAACAATTCCGGCTTTTTTTTTTAGGTTCGAAAAAAAAACCACATATTTAATCGTGTTTTGTTCCCTTATTTATTTCTCCTTTTTTTTCGTTGCTTTCTTTTCTTTTCCCCCCTGAAATTGATTTTAAATGCGGTCAGCAATTTCCATATTATTGTCGTACAATCGTTTCTTGACGACTTGCTCTATTCTTTTTCTATTTTTTGTGTGCTTCAAAATAAAAAACACATATCTAATCATGCTCTGTTTTTTGTTTCAAATTGTTTTTGTCTTTATGTTTGTTTTTGTGATTTGTATTCCCCGTATATATCTATGTCACATTAGCTAAGAATTCCTAGGCCGCTATTGACAGGACACGACTTGCACATACAGAACACCAACGACGTTACAGACGAAGACATGTTGACAATATTCGACCACATCTCAACAATGCACGTCTTTATACGTCAATACTTTTCATGCAACAAGTTTTGGTCGAAATAACCGCCCTGGAAAACAGGTCACCCTGCACACACTGCGCCGCAGAAAAATGGCCTCATGAACACAATTGGACCTCGCTTGGCTGTCTCCAAGGAAAAGTTCAACCACCTTTGTGGACATATCCCGAGCAGTTCACACCCGCTGCTCAAATTTTGCAATTGTGGGAAACTAGCAACAGACAGGGTCAACTACTGCGCTCACGCACACGACAGTTTAACAACGCCCTTGCTCTTGCATCTCAAACAGTGAAAGAGACACACATGCCTCCCGGCCGACGGCCTGACATGCTCAGAATCGAAGGTCACGTTCAACAACACTTTGGCCCTCCTGTGCCAAACGAAAACCAACAACTAACGTTAGCCCCAAATATATGTATATGCAACACTCTTGCGTCTTCACCGACTGGACCTGCCACCAGATATGCCACTTGACACAGTTCAGCGAATCAAATCCCTTTTACAAAAACTACACTCGCTACTCTATCAATGCAACCGGTGGGTTCGTGACTTCATTACAGTGTCCGAACTCCCTGATGAGACGATACAAGATCGACACATTGTTATCAATCCAGATGCATGGCCATCAGACGAACATGCTGACAGATACAAGAGAGCAGAAGGACCGCGAGAACTCTGCATAAGAGAACATCAATCTGCAAGCTACACTCTATACTTCTTTTTTCCGTTTTGTTCCACACTATGCAAACATTCTAAGCATGACAATTTCCATTTTCTTAATTCGTCTCTTTTAATTGTTTGCGACCTTGCCCTCATCGCCTGTTGATCCCTTTTCCTCCTCGCCTGTGACCAATTCCCCTACCTATAACAAAATTTTGTCCCTCTCCTGCTCACACCTCCCCTCACTTCGCTGCGCATGAAGCCGCGGCGAGTCCCCTTGTTGAGCTAAGGACAATAAAAGGAAAGTCTAATGTGGTTGCAGATGCTTTGCCCAGGTGTGAAGATTTTCTTTAGAACCATTGTCTCCTACCTCGATATTGGGAATGAACTGAAAGAACAAATATGCAAGGGTTATGAGAGTGACCCTATTTGAAGTCCTATTATTGGGACCCTACGAAAAAACCCTGAACTATTCCCAGAGTATCGAATGACTGATGGCTTACTCTTCTAAGTGGATAAAACCAAAGAATGATTATGTATTCCTCACCAAGAACAAATCAAGAGTTTAATCATATTGGGGAATGCCATAATGTTGAGGGTCACTTTGGTTTTGAAGACGTATGCTGATGTCCAAGAACACTTTGAATGGAAAGGAATTGAAGAGGATGTACTAACGTATGTGCGGACTTGTCTTATCTGTTAGAGGAACAAACCCTCGCATGAGAATCTGTTGGGACTACTGAGACCATTGCCTATTCCAAGTGAGTCAGGTGAGTCCATCTCCATTGATTTTATGAGTCTCACTAAGAGTCGAAATGACAATAGTCAGGTAATGGTCATCGTAGATGGATTCTCAAAGTATGCTATGTTCATTCCTTTACCTGTCGGAGCTAGAACCGAACTGGTCATCCAAAAGTTTCTTTTTGATGGGTTTTTTTGTATGGATTCCCCAAAACCATTGTCTCTGACATAGATGTTCAGTTCACGAGTCTACAATGGCAAAAATTCATGCAAGTCTATGGCACCAACTTGACCATGTCGTCAGGTAGACATCCTGAAACGAACGGCCAAACTGAGCAAATGAACCGTATATGCCAACAACTTTTGCGCATGTATGTGCGACCCAATCAAATAGATTGGGATGAAAACTTACATAAGATTCCTAGTGCTTATAATAACAGTATACATACTGTTATAGGAAGAACGCCTAACGCACTGCATAAAGGCTGGAAGCCTCGACGTCCCATTCATGCTTTAACTCGGGACCAGATTCAGAGTTTACCCCCAGGAACTTGTGAATTCCCAATTTTGTATGAAGAAGATATCAAAAAGGTAAAAGAAAATATACAAAAACCCCAACTTCAGATGATTGAGCAGGCTAACCAACATCGTCAACCATCACAAGTTCAAGAAGCAGATCTGGTTTGGGTGAGGTCTAAAGAATTTGCCTTAGAAAGAAAACGTGTCTCAAAAACTGTTGCCTGTCTACTATGGTCCCTAGGAAGTTCTCAAGGTGATTAGGGATGCAGATGGACCTTCCTACCGAATCGATGTACCCCCACACCTAAGGACCTACCCTGTCTTTCATGCTTCTAAACCGCTATCGTACGTAAAAGGAGAGAACTTTCCTAACAAATGTTTCCACCCTCCATGAATGGAGGTTATGAAGTTAAGAAGATTCTGGAACATGGCTACTTTTCTACAGGTGGCAGAGGAAGACCAAGGAACCAATATAAGGTACAGTTCAAGTCTCAACCCCGATATGAAGCCAAATGGTTTAGTAAGAAAGAACTCTTACCTACTGCGCTTGATATTGTTGTTGCATATGAACGTGGGTTGAAAGGAAACTAATGTTTTTTCTGCGATGGAAGCAGGAATGCAATAACCCATGTTGTATGCCTCATGGAAAGTCCAAGGGCATTACCGAGCCGCACTCAGACCCAAGTTGAAGGGGCAAAAAAAACCCACATAAGAATTTAGGGCCCGGGCGAGTTACAGTTGACTAAAGTCAACTGTCGGATTCCCAACTGTCAAAGTCAAAGCGTACCCAACCTAGGCCGCCACTCACACACACACACTTGTATGCAGGAACCCAGACAGCATCGAGTCCAAGGGGAAATCTGCAACTGTACAATCTAGGTCCTCAACTGTGAGTCAATCTGCACCACTGTCGGTGGGGACCTAAAGGTCAAACAGCCTTACCAAATGCTACATAAGGCTGGGTCTCCGGGTGGTCAACATTCAGTCTTGCTATGCTGCTTGGACGCTGGCTCGACTTTGACTGGACTCTGGCATTGACGCTGGCATGGCGCTAGCCACACGCTGGCTGTGCGGAGGCACTGTGGACGACGACGAGGGGCCGTGGCAGCATGCTGACGCTTTTTGTGCGCCGGGCATTGCTGATGAGACGCTGCCACCTGTCTACCCTGCTGATGTGGCGCATGCCACTGGTCTACATTGCTGATGTGGCGCATGCCATTGGTCTACATTGCTGATGTGGCGCATGCCATTGGTCTACATTACTAATGTGGCGCATGTCACTTGTCTACATTGTTGATGTGGTGTTTTCACTTGTCTTCATTGACGATGTGGCACATGCCACCTATCTCAACAGCTGACGTGGCATTGACCACGCTATCTACATGACGTGACTAGTTGCGATAAGGAAGGAGATCGGGATCTGTGGATGATTGGGATCTGGTACTCACCTGAGGTTGACGTCGTTACCGTATTCTGCTATTGTCTTCATGGTCTTCACGAGATAAGAGTGCCACGTGGCATTGCTGTGTGATCAGGATTATCATATTTGTTATCGTATACTGGTTGATGACATGGAGAGGAAAGAAGCCCCTAGAAGAAGTTGGGTTTGATTGGATTACTCTGGTGTGATCATTGATATCTCTTCCACCTTCTCCTATGTCTATTCCCCCTCCACTCTCTTCATCTAATGGTAACGAGATACTGTTTCAGATAACACTTCACGATAACTGGAGACTTTGTGCAGATCTGAGACTACTTGTGCTTTGACGTCTAATGAGTATCTGCCAGACTAGGTTCATTACACTCTATTTTCCTCCTCAGGCTGCTAGGTTTGTCGTTCGCCGAGCAAGGAAGAGGGAAGTCCGACCGGAGTTACAGTAGGTGCGTGCCCAAATCGACATGCAAGACATGCTGAGAGAGTATTTGGCGGAAGATGGCAGCGGGGATAGTCCACATAGTAGAGACACAAACTTTCGATGATAGCTTCCTGGTAACATTGATGACACATGGCATGCTGCTGACATGGTAGTAGGAACGCTGGCTGACATGCGCAGCTATTTAAACATGGCAAGTCAAGGCCTTGGCGGCATATTGGGCAAGCAATTAGGGGGTGGGAAGGATGAATACAAGACAAAGATTCGCATAGTGTTCGGAGCAGAGACTGTGCAGTGTGCATGCCAACCGAACTGTAGCTGTGTGACGACGCAATGGGAGGGCACAGCCACCGTCCTCAGGAGAAGTCTGGTGACTGCCAGAAGGAGAATCTATTTGATCTACACAGGGAGGTGACACTGCTTGGCCACGTGCAGGAGAAGGGGGTGGGGGTTCAGCCAGGTTGCTCTCCGGACGCTGCTGCGCTTGCAAGTGCAAAGGAACATACTGTACCTGAAGGACAATCTAGATGGAGTGAGAATTTGCTGCTTGGTTGTAGAAAGAGGTCGTACTTTCCACCGTGTGCACCCTACTGCCATTTTCCCATAAGACCCATGAATTATCCGCAAGGGCGACAGCACTGAAATGACCTGCACGCTGCCAAGGGGTTCTGGGGAGCAGGCTGCAGTTGTATTCTTCTTCCCATGAATGCCATAGACATGACTTCGATGTTCACTACAGGTGCAGTACTGTCATCCTCTGGGCAGACAGCACGGTGCTCTTCTTCTATCCAATGGACGGTATTGGTAAAACTGCAACTGTATAAGGGTTGCAATTATAAGCGAGGAGACATACATTAATAGCATAGTATACACAGAGTCCTCGCTGTAGTATGATGAGATCATCTGATTCTGTTGGTGCAGCAAAGGGGGGTTCATTCAATTCTGTGGATTGCTTGGTAGGTGGAGGTTCATTGTAGCCTCGACGCTCTGTCAGGTTCCTCTGGTTGTATTAACTGTATTGGCTCTAGCATATGATCCGGAGAGAGATCCTCTGCATTCGGGGCCTCCATCAAATGATCAGAGGGCAAGTCATTGTCAATTGGGGTAGGGGAGCATGTTGGGCTAGTTGGGGGAGAAACGAGCAGGTGAGAAATAGGTGGGTCAGATGGAGGTAACGGGAACTAATCAGCCACACTTGGGCTTAAAATGGCTGCTAGTCATGCAAAAGCTGCACAGGCGGCTGCCCCCCGTGTCTAGTGCACACGCATGCTCACAGTGCTGCAGAAATCATCGCCACATTGTTGGCATCAGACTCTATATGTACTATTCCGGGCTAGTGTATACTGATCACGACGGCGTCGTTCTGCACGGTTGCGGGCTTGGCGTCGGAGCAGATCTCAAACCCCTGCAGGGGGCGTGGTGATCGTGTTGTCCAAGGACAAACGAGGGCGCTGTCTAGGAGGTGGCAGTGGAGACGGGGAGTGCCTCCACCGAAGAGGTGTCTGCAACGACCGATTCAACGGTGGAAGCCTCCGATGAAGGGGCCGCTGTGACAGCTGAGCTGACCAGGAATGTATTGATGATGACGATGTTGATAAAGGGGAGGTGGAGGAGGAGGAGGGGGATGACGAGGAGGGCAGAGAAGAAGAAGAAGAAGAAGAAGAAGAAGAAGAAGAAGAAGAAGAAGAAGAAGAAGAAGAAGAAGAGAAAGAAGCAGCAGAGAAAGGGTGGATGACGGGGGGAAATGTAGCAGAGGATGTTGGCGGAGGGGCTGGTGGGGGTGGTGGGGATGATGGCGGTGGTGGCAGTGAGGATGACGGCGGTGGTGATTGTGGTAGTGTTGGTAGTGATGATGGTGGTGGTGGAGGAGGAGAAGAAGGTGGTGGTGGTGGTGATGATGGAGGAGGTGGAGGTGGAGGTCGTGATGGTGGCGACTGTGGCAGTGAGGGAGGCACATTTTCAGTTGCAACGGCCGCATGAGTGGGGTGGCCTTCATTCCCTGCAGCCACCTCCGCAGCGTATATGTTGCTCACTGCGGCGGGCCTCATCTCCATCTGAGCTGGCGGAGGCACATTGGTATCTGCCAATTCGGTACGACTGCCGCATTGGGCTGTGTGGAGAGTTGGGGTGGTCTGCAGTGAGGATTAGCGACGGCCTGTGGCATATGGTTGGGTGGAGGGCCTGTGCGCAGCGTTTGCCTGCGACAGTGGGTGAGCAATTGCCCAGCACACCATGCAGCAAAACCAGTTCGAAAGCCGTGTGACATGCATCGGTAGCCGGCACTGCCGGCCACGCACATATACAGTCCAGCCTTTGGCCAGGACACTCGGAAGATGGCCCCAAACAAGCATGCATTGTGTCAAGGAGGTCACTGCAGCTTTGAAGTCGGTATTATTGATACAGATATGTTCAAACCTCGTCGGTTGTCCTGTTAGCACACCTGCAGCCTGATGAGCCGGGGCATTGGAGGAAGCACTGGGATAACGTATGACAGGGAATGTCCAAGCTTCGGCCTTATCGAAAACGCCCATGCGAAGTGAGCTGTCTGGCCGAACTTGGATTCTTGCCCCAATGAAGAGACATGAGGCATCTTGCTTAGTAGTGTCTTTCCATTCAAGCCCGTACCGAGCAGGAGGGGGCGGAGATGTCTGCCAAGATAGAATGTCATTCATGAACCGATAAGTGAAGGCATGTGCTTGTGCTGCCCGGAGATCTTGCTGACGGAGTTCGTCGATGAACTGTGCTTCATCCCAATAGAGAGTGAGGTTGGCAATTTCTGGACCGGCGTTAGTGCCCATAGGGACACCGACCACTTGCTGGCGCAGAGTGCCATCCGTTGTATAGAGACAAGTATTTGAGACCACAAACCGCAAATGATGTTGAATCTCTGACACTGAAAGGAGGGGGAGTAGACAACGGGGAGGAGGAAAAAATAAAGAGAGAGAGAGAGAGAGAGAGAGAGAGAGAGAGAGAGAGAGAGAGAGAGAGAGAGAGAGAGAGAGAGAGAGAGAGAGAGAGAGAGA